AGAAAGAAAGAAAGAAAGAAAGAAAGAAAGAAAGAAAGAAAGAAAGAAAAGGCAGTCTCATGGGATCAGGTCCTTAACCTTTGGGATCTGATTCCGATTTTGTGAAACTAGGATAAGAATTGAATTTGAGAATTGCTTGGTATGTGGGGAGAAGATCCCTACGCATCTGGCCATGGAAGTATTCTGTGGTGTGTTTCATTTCTAGTTGGAAAAAATGGTCAATTTGGTTTTTCTAGCGTACCCATGATATAATAGAAACAGCACTTTTTCCTCTTTTTGTTTTGTCTTGCAGTTCTGGGAATTGAACCCAGAACCTTGTATATGCTGGGTAAGTCAACTACCACCAAGAGACAGGACTGGGGATTGAACACAAGAGAGCTCTGCCACTGTGCTATCCCTCCCCAGCCCCGCTTTGTCTTTTTGAGTCAAGGGTTCACTATGCAGTTCAGGCTGGCCTTGAACTCACTGTGCAGCCCAGGCTGGCCTCAAACTCTCACTGACCCTCCTGCCTCAGCCTCCAGAGTGCTGGCTTTGTAGGTGTGTGCCACCGTGCCTGGCCCTTGTATTTAATTTTGAAGCAGAGTTTCGCTGAGTTTCCCAGGCTGGCCCCAAGTTTGAGATCTCTCTGCCTCAGCCTCTACAGTTCTCTGCCACTGTACCTGATCCCAGTTCTTTCAAATTTTTTTTTGGGGGGGGGGCGTGCACAGGGTTTCACTAAACTGGCTAGGCTGACCTCAGACTGTGGTCCTCTTGCCTTAGCCTTCTGAGTAGTTGGGATTACAGGGATTCGCCACCACGCCCAGCTAAAGTATAAATTTTGAAGGTAGGATTTTTTTGTCTTTTTTTGAGACGAGGTCCACTGTGCAGGTCAGGCTGGCCTTGAGCTCACTTTGTAGCCCAGGCTGGCCTTGGACTCAACAGTTCTCCTACCTCAGCCTCCCGAGTGCTGGGATTAGAGGCGTGCACCACCACATCTGGTTTGAAGGCAGGAGTTTGACCTGAGTTCAAATGGTGGGTAGACTGCTCAACCGTTGTGTGGTCTTGGGCCAATTATATACCCTCTCTGAGGTTTTGTCAGTAATATTAATATCTACCTCCTGGGGTTATCGAGAGGAACAAATGAAATGATGCATGTGTGTACGAAACCTGTGTTAGGCTGTGATGAAATGCGTTGCTTTTTCCTCTTCTAGCACATACTTTCTCTTTTTTTGGAGCATTTTTTTAATTTGAGGAACTACAATTCCTTCTCTGTACGTTCCAGTGGTAGAACTGTCAGTCAGTTGCCCCGCTGCCCTTTTGGTGTTTTGGTTTGGTTGTTGTCATTTGAGACAAGGTCTTGCTGTGTCGTCCAGGCTGGCCTTGAACTCACAGTGATCCTCCTGCCTCAGCCTCTCGAGTGCTGGGATTACAGGTATGTGCCACCATGCCTGGCTTCCAAATACACCACACTGGCAGAGGGCTTATTTTATTTTATTTATTTTTGGTACCAGGAATCAAACTCACCACCTCGCTCTTGCCAGGCAGGCGCTGCGCCACTGGGCTATATCCTCAGCCCATAGGGTTTTTTTTTTTTTAATCGGAAAGCAAATGAAAAGTAACAGAGGCGGGAAGAAGCCATGCTGGCGTTTCCCATGTGTGACTCAAGCAGACACTTCCGAGCAACAGGGAGTACCACAGCCCGAGACCCTGGGGGCTGTGGCGGAAGAGGACCAGAGGCTGACGCCGCGAGGGTCTGCAGACAAGCCTTACTTTCCCAGTCACCTGGGAAATGTGCGGGACTGACGGCTCACAGCGCTGGCAGCAAGGCAGCGATCACAGAACTCCCCCCTTACACTGCGGTCCTAGTGTACAGCGGTGAACCCCTCGGGGGCAGCGGGAGGGAACGGGAAGCCCCGGCGGGGCAAGTGCGCGGCGGCGGCCCGAGACGGCCACCTCTGCTCCGGTGCCGTGCCTGCGGGGCGGGGGTGGTCGAGACGCAGCTCCTGAGTTTCGCGGTTTTATCGGCTGCCGAGAGCCTGTGCTGTGCCGGATTTTCTGTAGTGCGCACACAGCGTTATGAGCTGAGTCTGCCCCCCGTGAACATGTCGATGCTTCGACCTCCTGATACCGCCGAGTAGGACTGTCGAGGAGAAGATTCAGTTGAAAGGAGGCTGCTCGGTGGACCCTAGCACAGTCTGACTCATATCCTTATAGGAAGAGGGAATCTGGACGCAGCCGCCAAGATCGTGAGTGCACGGGAAAGGCCGTGCGGAGACCCGGGCAGAAGGTAGAAGCCAAGGAGAGGAGAACGTGAAGAAACCAAACACACCGACCCCTTCACCTTGGGCGTCTGGCCTTCAGAACGATGAGAAAATAAATGACTATTGCTTCATCTCCTCACTGTGTCGGGTCGTGTCACGGCAGCCCCAGCAGACTCATAAACGCACGATACACACGGTTACAGGCCCAGCCACACCTGGTTTAGCTTGTGATTCTCTTGCTGAAGCTTGTCATAAACCCCCATGGTATCTTTTGCTGCTGTCTTATCTGTTTATTTGGCTATAACAAAATACCCAAGACTGGGTGATTTTAAGGAATAGGTTTATTTCTCACAGTCCCAGAGGCCAAGTCCAAGGAAGGTGCTGGTGGCTTGCAGCCTGGCGAGTCTCCCTCTGTCTGCACGTGTGTGCCTCTTTCCTCTCCCTCCTGCACAGACCCAGGGCTGTGGGAAGCTTCTGTGATGAGGCTCTTCACCGCACTCATGAAGAAGGAGCCCTGCCCTAATTTGGATCTTTTGTTCTAAGAGACAGAAAGGAAGGGCCTCTGCGTCTCGGCAAAGAGCCGAGCCGTGGGCCTGTGGCTTTCAACCTGCTTCTGTGTAGTTGTGCTGAGCTGACAGTCTGTGGCTCGGACAGCTTCTGTGCAGCTACACTGTCCCGCATACGCCCCTACTGCTCCCCTCTAAATTCCCCTACTAGCCCAGCAAACCAAGGCCCCAGCAAAGAGTCCAATAACCAATCAAGTAGTGCCCTCGGAAGGGTGGGGACAGGGCTTGCTACCCTGTGAAGGAGGAACGCTGTTCAGATTGGGCCGTGTTCCAGCTCTGGGCCCTGTCACTGCGGTGGCTCTTTACCATTTCCTCTTGCAATACCTGCAATAAAATTACGTTTCGTTTGGACTGGTCTTCTGACTTTTCTTCCTCTTTCTACATTGGAGAGAGGGACAAGCCCCGTGAAATGTAACATAATTGGGAGCTGGTCTGGGAAAGAAGACCACCCAAGACCACCAGACACGGCCAGCATACCCCACGTATAGCTTGTGTCTAGATGTCCCCCTAAAGCCTCATGTGGTCATAGGTGGGGCTTTTCAGAGGTGGCTGGATCTAGAGTTTGTGACACTGACATTAAGTGAATGATGCTGGGATTAAGGATGCGTGATTAGCAAATTAGTCCACTGATGGATTTGGAACCGTTCCGGGTAGGATGGGTGCCCCACCCTGGGTGTGAGTGCTGCCCACCCTCAGGATGGAATATAAGGGCCAAAAAGAGGGTGATATTTTGTGTTTTGCAGCTTGCTGCTTGTTTCCTTGCTGCTTTGCTGCCTTTCTGCCTGCTGCCCACCATGAAGAGTTTCTCCTCTGTGATGCCCCTCTGCCATGTGCCGCCCTGCCTTGGAGCCAGCTAACTATGAACTCAAACCTCTACAAACTGTGAGATAAATAGACCTTTCCTCCCTTCACTTTTGGATGTTGGGTATTTTGTCTCAGCCATGAGAAAAATAACTAAGACCCCCAACCCCAACCCACCAGATGTAACAGCACTATTGGGAGACAGTAAAAACTTTAAGATGTGGGGCCAAGTGGGAAGCTTTTGGGTCATTAAGGGCTTGCCCTTGAAGTGGACGTTAGGACCATAGTCCATTGCTCTTTCTCTCCTTGACTTCCCAGCCATGAGGGGAAGAGTTCTGCTCTCCCACAAGTGCCGCCATGATATTTTTCCAGCATTTCCCCAGCATTCCCTAAACTACTAGAGTCCCCAAAACTTGCTGTTGTGGTGGATCCTTGAATCTTCAAAGGATTTATATCTCACCTCTGAGAGAACTGTATCTTAAAATTCTTTTAATAAATTTGCCATTTTTTCATATCTTGTCTAATTAATATTCTGTCCTCAATGTAGGGGCTATGTGTGATGTTTTGTGGTATGCCCAGCTGGCCTCAGTCCCTTCAGAACGAAAGGTTAACAGTGCAATGGCAACACTATAAATGTATACAGCTGTCCATTGCAAAGATGGTTTCCTGATTTTGATTCTTCTTTTCCACAGATTTGGAAAAGAATGCATTTGTCAAGTCAGTGGTCACATATTAACTATACCATGTATTTGAGGTAATTTTCATCTATTTCATTAAATAGACTAAATCTGGTACGACAGAATAAATTTTGGAAAATCTGGTACAGCAGCGGCAATAGGAGCTACGACTTTTTTGACTCTGCCATAGCCCATTGACACTTTCCAGAATCTATCTGGGATTCTGCTAAATCAAAAGAAAATATGATTAGAACCTGTGGTGGATTAACTAATGGGCAACTTGCAACCCCCAGCTGAACTGAGTCAGCGTGGTGCTGGGTGAGGAAGGCCCAACTGAGGAGTGTTGCCAGGAACATAAAAGGAGAACTAGAGGGGAAAAGGGTGCTGTTGGTTCTCCTGGAGAAGCTTGTCACGCTGGCTTTCCTGATATGAACTCAGTTCTCATTGTCAGAGGAGCTCAGGTCCTTGCTGTCACTGAGGATGGCTGTGGTACTTTTCGGAGGAGCTCTGGTCCTTACTTGGAGCGTTGCTTCCTGGCTCCAGTGCAGATCTCTTAGCCTGCTGGCACAGATCCTTTGCCCTGCTGGTGCAGACTTTCTAGCTTCCACCACTGACCTTGGGCCTTCCCAGGGCAGATCCTCCGTACAGACTTGCATGAGACATTGTCGTGGGCGCTAGGTCTTCAGCTGGACTCGTGGGAGGCATTGTTGTGGGCGCTAGGTCTTCAGCTGGACTCGTGCAGGTCGTTGCCATGGGATCCAGGCCCTCAGCTGGATTCTTTGGGTCTCTGGTGTGTGGACAGCTCTCCCACACTCTCTTGCATTTGACTCTTTGGGTGAAGATTATAAAATAATCATATAAATTATGTGTCCTACATTAAATTCTTTCCCTTGTAAGCCTTGACTACGACAGGACTATTACCTCCACATATTATATTTGTTTGGCATTGGGGATGGAACCCAGGGCCCCGTACACTTTATCCAAGCTATGCTGCCAGCCTCCCCCTGCATCGAATAATCTTTAAAAATATCACTGATCTCTCCCATTACTCACAGGCATGATGTGTGGTACTGGGATTGAAGCCAGGGCTGTGTACATGCCAGGGAAGTGCTCTACCACTTAGCTACATTCCTAGCCATATATAGATAGGTAGATACAGATAGATATAGATATAGATATAGATTTTTTTTTTTTTTGAGAGAAGTCCTTGGTAAATTGCCCAAACCGGATTTGGACCTGTCTCTGCATCTCAAATATAGTACCTGGGATTACAGGTGCTCACCATCTTACCTGGCTGTGATCTTGGTGTTTTTTTATTTGTATTTTTGCTGGAGTCAGGAGGAATTTCAGAGGCTTCTATTTGGCCTGTCTCATTATGATAGCTCTTATTTCATAGATCTTGGGATCACTGCAGTAGATTTTTGAGTTACCAAGCATGTGACTTTCATTTATATACTTGAGACCTGGGGATGTGTCCGTAGCAAATTCACTGTGAACTAAGCCCGGATCAGGACTCATTTATTTCATGGTCTCCATATGCCTCCACTCCAAGTGGGGGATCTTGAGGACATTCCGGTCCCTTGGTATCAATTTGATCTTAGATTTGGTTTTTTGGTGGTGGTGGGGACATAGGGTCTCACTATGCAATTCAGCCTGTCCCTAAATTGGCTTATGTAGCCCAGGCTGGTCTTCAACTCACAATGATCTTCCTGCCTCAGCCTCCCGAGTGCTGGGATTGTAGATGTACGCCACTATGCCTGGCCCAATTTCACGTTAGACCCTGTGTCTCAAGTCATGGAACTGCTTGGATTCTATCTCCCCTTCTCTTGTGTTTGGAAGCTCCATCCTCTGAAAAACAACTGGGCATAGTAATGCTGCACACACCTACCTTCGTGTCATGGGATCTTCCCATCTGCAGACTTGGCCTCTCCTTCAGTGACTGGGCTCCAGGACTGGAAGCTGGTACTGATCCGTAACGGGGTAATGAATCATGACTCAGCCTCTAGACTAAACTTCTTTGGACCATCTAGGTTGAATAATATGTTTTTTGGTCTTCTCAACTTCAGGTACGTAGTGTACTACTATCCATTTTCCTAGTTCCCTGCCAGTTTAGCCTCTCTGGCTGTTGCTCCACCCTTATAGATTATAATATTTCTCAAAATACAAAACAAAAAGACACAGAAAAGCCCAATGACAGCAAAAACATTAGCCATTGTTAATATTTTGGTATATGTCCTTTAAGTATTTCACATTCAAAATTGTATCTACACATATAATTTTTAAAAAATGAGACTCTATTATATATATTGTTAGTAGCTCTGTTTTTTACCTTGGGTTTTTTTGTGGGGTGTGCAGTTGGGGATTGAACCCACAGGCTTAATACTCAGCTACATCTCCACCATCCACACCCAAATTTTATAAAATTTTATTTTGAGACAGGGCTTTACTAAGTTGCTAAATTGCTCAGGCTAGGCTTAAACTATGATTCTCCTGCCTCAGCCACCCAAAGTGCTGGGATTACAAACATGTGCCACCCACTCAACTTTGATAATGCTTCATAAGCATGTTTTCTCT